GATTGAATCATCGTACGATACGCTAAAAAAAATGCTGCAAGATAGTGAAAGCGAACAACTTACCTGAACGGAGCATCTGAATTAAAAAGTTGAATCCAAGTGCTGCATGCAGTCGCTCAATGTGCGTCGTATTTGTCGCGTCTAACAGTCGAGTAAGCACCATCGTACAGGCTAGGACCTCCTCATAACCACCCCTGTTGGCACTATTAGGTACATGTGATTCGTTCGCATCCGAATCATCCTTGCTGATTCTTGCCTTCGCTAATCGCGTAAACATCTCGTCGAGCAGCGCAGCTTTTTTGGCAGCCTTATCATTCTGTATCTGCCTTTGGTTGACAGTCGGCTTTTTGCCTTCGCTAGTCTGTTCATCGTGCGCTATACTCTCGTATCGGGACGTTTCAGTTGGCCCATTCATCACCACAACTGAAGATAGTATGAGACGCTAAGTAAGCGATTGTACTGTTATTCGAAACAGCCGCACTATTCAATACCAAATTGAAATTAAATATGAACCACTACAGCGACTATGAGAGCCATACCATATGTTCATACATTGTATCATACATACTTGCCATTTTTGAAATAAATAATATTATCCCTATAAAATACCTATAAACTCTATGAAGTAATATTTCACGTGTATACATACGTATATTATTTTGGCGGGGATTTCCATATGGGGCTGTATTCGATTCTGGAATCTATTCGCTGACATGGCCTTCTAAATCAGACAGCTATGTCGCTGATATATATTCAAAAACCACTACTTCATGCCTCTGTGACTAACGACATTCTGGTCAAATATATACTATATGTTTACTACTTCACTACTGAGAGCATACGAGCAAGACAAAAGAAGGAATATCACGAACTTTAGTCTATGGCGTGGAAAGTTATTTTATTTTTAATCACCCCCCGATGTTTAATACTTTTTGTATGTCTCAATTAAAACTGACTTGTGCTCTTGAGATCATGGCATATAATCTACCAAATTAATAATAGCTAAATAAAACATTAAAGGTTTCCCTACTTTACCTTGTGAATGAAAACTCGATGGTTTGTGGTAATTTTGCCCTTGTAGTTCTACGTTGTTAGCCAGTGCAATTGACCGTTCTCGACCCAACGCTCTTCTGTCCAGTCATAATCACCTTTGTGTTTCTTCACAGATATTGCGTGCATCCAAAGCCTGCCAGTTGCCGAATCCCACTTTGCTTGTTTCTTGCAGTATACTGAGAATGCATCATCATGATAATCCGTCCAACCAAGAAACTCATTATTCATGCCGAGCTCCATCTTATTGATCATATTCACAAACGAAGTGTATTGTACCTCTGTGGCAGTTACTTTGTCTTCTCCTTCGCATGCGACCTGAAGCTCTCGGTCAATAGTCAGTGCACACAAGGTCTTGCGCTTTAAGTAGTTTACACCACCATCTTTCAAAAGTGGTTCAACTCCTTCAGAATTGTACTTATCCAGAACCCATCAACCCTTGAAGCAGTCTAGGCTGCTGATATCTTGCGGTATGTTTGAAGGTGTATGGGCTGATTTTGTATCTGATGTTGATTTTGTTGTCTTTTGCCGATATGATTTGGTATTTATATGCATGAGAATGTCAGGCAACATCTGGGCAAAATGTAAACAACCGATGCTGAAAATCAAGGCTGTTGTACTCCTACAAATTACAAGGCAATCCATAGAGGAACAAACGGTTGTTGTTTTATTACGCTTTCGCTTTCCAGCCACTGTCATATTTGTTTTCTTTTTGAAAATTATTCAATTTTGTATGTGAACTGCTTTATTTTTATTTTTTTGTTATTTTTTATATAAACCATTCGCAAGTTCGCAAGTCGTAATACAATTACATACATACTGTGGTTTTTCTATTTTAAAAACCTATATATTTCAATATTTTAGTTTTGCTTTTTTACAACAAAAGGAGTAACCGGTCACAGATGATATGTACCGTGATTGGTTCATCGTATCCTCGACTTCTCGGAGAACAATTGAACAAATGGACTATGTAGAGTCGAGTGGGAACTGGGAAGGCTTGAACCGTCTGGCGTCTACCGGCCGGGTAGTTTGGTAATTTCTTATTTCCTGTGTGGATGCCGATGGGAAGACAAGAAGTTAACAAGTCGTCACCGTTGGTCTATAGTTATTGTCAAGTTACCAGCGGCTAGCTCGTTCGGCGTTCACCGTTGAGTACTTCGGGAAGTCATACTCCTAACTCAACTACTCGTTAACTCTTCTAATTGCCACATGCTCCTTTGCGTATTTTCGTCTTTCTTTCGACATCCTCATTCCTCGAGTACCTCCAAATGTATATTCCGTGAGGTATTCAGCTCTTCTAATTTTGCACCTCTTTTAAGTATTTAGTATCAGCAAGGCCAAGCAACAAGTACCAATTGCCAATTGGCACTCCTCACATTCGAGCGTGAAATTTACTCACATGGGTTTGCAAGACTTCCATTCACATCTGTCATCTAGAGGATCCCTCCCTTCCCAGCCATCCTGTAGCCACATATGTGTTCTGAAACATATGAATACAAGCACATATACAGTTTGGAAATCACAAAAATATCTCGCAAACACAATACACATTCGCGACAATGCCACAAGACATCAGCAACCTAGACTGCTTCAAGGGTCGTTGGGTGCTGGATAAGAACAACTCTGAAGGAGTTGGACCACTTTTGAAAGATGGGGGTGTGAACTTTCTGAAGCGTAAGACTTTGTGTGCGCTCACTATTGACCTAGAACTCCAAGTCGCATGCGAAGAAGAGGACAAAGTAACTGTCACAGAAGTGCAGTACACTTCGTTTGTGAATATGATCAACAAGATGGAGCTCGGCATTAACAATGGTTTTCTCGGTTGGACGGATTACCATGATGATGCCTTCTCAGTATACTGCAGGAAGCAAGCAAAGTGGGATGCTGCAACTGACAGGCTTTGGATGCACGCAGTATCTGTAAAAAAACATGAAGGCGACTACGACTGGACGGAAGAGCGTTGGGTCGAGAACGGTCAATTGCACTGGCTAACAACGCAGAACTACAAGGGCAAAATTACCACAAACCATCGAGTTTTCGTTCATAAGGCATAGTTTAATCCGTAGGTATTAAAATATAAAATAAATGTATAAAAGGTTATTTCGTAACGTATAGTACCAGCTTTCATCCCGCGTACAAAATAAATAACATCTAGAAAATAGCTGTGCGTAATATACATAGACCAATATTGAATATTATTTGCTAAGAAAGTCTGCCATTTTGAATCGATCGGATACCGAGGTTAATATAATAGTAGTGTGTGGCGAGATATGACTTTCATTCGTGAGGCCCCTGAGGCTATACCATGCACATCGTTCATAGCCATTCTGAATTCGATAGCTCGATCAAAGCGCAAATACCAGGTGAAACAAACCCCGCGGGCCTCGTTTCGGTTCTGTCATCGACTATAGGGTCTGGGTGGAAGTTAGCTGTAAACGGGATTGTAATCTAATTCCCACCACCCCCACCCCCCGACAATGAATGCGAAGAACATTTGTCATGCTTGAGAATTTGTAACAACTTTTGATGACCAACGCGAGAATTGAATCCTTTGACATATGCAATATCCTTCACAACGAGCACGTTCAATGCATTCGTACCCTGACTACGGGTGTTTAAATTGCTTATGCTGAAGCATTTTTAACAGCTTATTACAACCAATATAGTGTGTGTGTGTGTTTGTGTGTGTGTACTTGTGTATATATACATATACATAAAT